ACTTGTGATTTAACAGCTGTTTCTGACCGATATATTTTACGTCGTTAAAAAGAAATGCTGTTTTATTTGGTCTTTGGTTAGCATACTTTCAACTATTCGGTACGATAATAGAAATCGATAATGAATTAGAAGCACTGAATATTGTTCGACCAGTTCAATCAAACAACAAATTATTGTTTTAACTATCTTTAACTGCTGGATTTACATGATGCTCACTTCCATCTTATCGATTGATCGGTCACACGCACACAAGCACATTTTTATCTCCGAGTTGCTTCTGGTATGCATACCTTCCGGGTGCCTGTTTGCCATCCGTCCTTTCACACCGATCGATCGATCGGATTGATTTTTCAGACAGTTCACCTCCAATCGCACGGGGCTGATGAATGGAACCGAGTTGTTAGCTTATGCAAATCAATCAGTCACAATTTGTATCGTCCTGTGTGAATCGTTCTGTTTACGCTCTCCCCATATTGACCTTGGTTCACTCCCCCCCCCCTCTTCATTTCGATTAAAGCAGTAGCAGATACACAATGACATAAATTTCTGTTTTATCCAACCTTGAAAAATGCAACTCCGTATATAGGAATTTTATTCGGCTTGGCTGACGTAAAATGAACCTATGTAATTAAATAAAACTATGTAAGTTTTACCGTAATAGGTTACTATGAGAAGATGAATCATTTAGTTCCAAACTGAAAGACAAATGTTGCTATTCTGTCAGAAGCTGTTTGATTATCACTATTACTAAATTCAATTTCATGATGAATTGTGTTATATAACGAAGGAAAAACGTGAAACAGCCTACAAATCTCATCAACATTGCGGATCCATTGACTCGAGTGAATGCTGCATGCACGCATGTGGGAATCTCATATGTGGCACTGTAGCACACCACTCAATGGGCAACAACTGATCGCTGTGTTTACACACACACACACACATACAGGGTATAGCGAAAACCAGCTTTACCAGTGTGCGGTAGGCATTGTATCCTCCTACTCATCTTCGCACTTGCTTCCACGGATTGTGGGACTCGTTCAGAAGCAGCACTCCGATCCACCACGGTGCTTATTCATTTGTGACATGCAACTGGGTTTGCAAAGCCATATAGAATACCTGGTGAGATTTTCATCATGTTAGATAATGATTGGTTACACGGTGAGACCAGAGAAAGGGACACTAATCGGGCCTTTCATTATTTGAAACCACAATGCTGACACGTCTCTTTACAGGATATCAAGATTATTGATAGCACTATCGCCTTATTATTCATAGATACTTTGGAACTGTTGTGTTCCAAGTTAAGTAGTGAAATGAGCACAACGAATTAAGCAGTAAGCTCATTTGTAAACAGCAAATATGTAGCCGGTTCACAAACCGGGGAACAAGGAGGAACGAGCAGCGTGTAGAAAGGCAGGCAGACAGGTAGGCCGACACCGGCTCACACGTCGCACTACATGCGAATACCGTCAAGCCAGCATTCAAACAGTCAGTTGTAGGCCACAACAAGAACCACTTAGCAAACGGAATTCCTTTCTGCTTCGAATATTGTTCTTGACATTTATTTTGATGAAACAGTATATATTATTCGACTACTGCCGGCAGTGTTAGATAAGTGTGTGCCAAATCCGATCGCCGATCAGCAATTAAGAATATAGGATCATGTAAAGCGGCTAACGTGAACTAAGTGAAATATCCAAGATCAGAACATTAATCAACGCGAGTGAATAAAGCAAGTGTAAAGTTGTCAGTTGAAGATTGGGGAATGAGACAAGTGTAACAAGGGGAGAAGTACTTGTGGAGAAATAGAAGACAGCCACCTTATTTGACCCTGGTGGCCTCATTGCTGAACCGGATCACTTTGCTTGCCCGATTTGATAATCCTGCATGTTGTGGATTCTGCGGTTGTTCGTATGTTCTTAAATGGTCCCTAAAAGTTTCAAGCTATCAATTCACGTATCTCTCCTAAGCAATCCGGCTCGTTTGCTAGGCGTTTAAAATACAACCTCCTTCTCTTCAATAGAGAGAACAAAACTGATCACTAAGTTTCGTATGCACCGTATATTTATGAAGATCATCAGACTAACCTTTTTCTGCCCTTCATGGATAATCAAGTGCTTGTGCTAGCGTAGTTGGACAATTGCGGTAGTTTTTCAATACCTGTTGTCGAACCATAAACAGCGAAAACATTTCACCCTGTATCTTGTGTCTAAATCTACACTGTCAATTGTATAGTTCAATGGTCTACATGAGAAATGGACTAAAATTAAACTGCCAGGAGTGGCCCGAATTCAGGACCAATAGCCAACTAGTGTCCGTGATTCCAACCACACAAAAACTGTACATCCCAAATTTATCACATTGACAGTTTGTTTCAATTTTCCTTCGAGATTCCAATTCATTATTTTTTTAATGATGCATTGACTAATAAACTATTTCGCTCTCTCCCGTAGCAGTGCATATGCGAATAAGGATTCTAGAAAACCAGGGATTTTACCTAACAAGCTCTATTCCGGACCAAGTGAATCAAATTATTCACAATATTTGGTCCGGTATTTGTGGGTGGGCTTCCAACACTCTAGCACGCTTTGTTTTGTGCCAAAACGGATTAAACTGTTCACCCCGGGCACTTGGATTGTCCGCGGTTGACCGTGGAGCTCCGTTAGTTACGCACCGTATTGAATGAGTGGTTCGAAGTGTGCGTGACACACTGACCTAATTTGTTTCAAGACATCTAGCGGTTTCTTTTCCGATTCCTCTCATGCCCTCGATAACTTCGCTTACATTTATCAACCAGAATGACGCCGACCGAGGTTGTCCTACTCTAAACGGGTCAGTAGTATCCATTGCATTCCTTCTTTATTTTTAGTCTTAAATTGAGGATTACATAATAGTTTATTTTAGTTCATACTCAAGAAAAAACAAAAAAAATTATTTACTCAACGTCGTAAAACATCCAACTGAATGAGCTCTCAACATTGAGGTCGATTTAAGTTTCATATTCCACTTTAGGTCTTTTTAGAATAAGTAGTATATGAATGATTCGACATAATCTCCGTGAAAGCACACAACCAGGTTCGCGGCTATTGCTGCTTGTCAAACATGCATATCCGGTAGTGTTCTGTCAGTTTATTCATATATAAGGTACCAAGCAGTTGTATTTTCATCACAATGACCTCATTTGCAGCACCAGATGAATATATTTTCTGGGTACAAGTATATACATGAACTAAGAGAAGATAACCGGATACGCATGCCTGAGGAGCGGCAAGAACCACAAAACCGGTTGTGTGCTTCCAGGGAAATTTCGTCGAATCATTCAACCACTACTTGTTGTTACATATTCTATAAGAAGCTTCAGTCACATTTGTCGCGGTTAGTAGCATCCAAGCCACTTACAAACACAGTGAATCATAGTTTTGATTTATAAATGGACTTGTTCTGAAAAATAACCGTTCAAACATATTTACCCGTTGCTGTAAATGTGGTTATTGCGACACAAATGGGTTTTTCATTTCTAGGAATTTTATATTTTTAAAGTTTGTTCAAGCTACACAGCAGTGTCAGTGGTTTTCAATGAAACACACAACATTTGGTGGTCTGAGGCCAAACATTTCATCAGCTTGGCGTTTTTCACCACCATACTTATTGTCTCCCCTGCATTCATAAACGTGAAGTGATCTATGACCTAACAGGTGATAACATGTCGTGAACATTCGGTGATTTGTGATCAAATTTGAGTGTTTTCAATAGCCTGAATATGTATCAGTGCTATTTGTTTGTCTTCTGTACAGTATAATAATATGCACACTCACTAAATACAAATAGTCTTTTTTCGTACGATAACGATACAGAAATTACAACGGGGAGGGATACTTGTTCAATACTCCGGTTAGCAGAAAGAGTAAATATCATGCTGCACTGCCGGCTGTAGGTTCACAGACCACTACTACCCTTTATGCTCCAGCGAACAATAGTTTTCCGTCTGTCAGATCATTACACGTACAGTCGCACATTGGTTCCTGTTATTTTCCATCTATTGATAGACTGGCGACTACCTGTAGAATGTAATTCGCATTCCGAGTCGCATAAAGGTGCTTTTGTTGCGTGAACAGTGTAGAGGACCATAAAAGCACAAACACGCGATACATACCGATTCACGAGAAGTTCTAAGGCGGAATAACTGCGCTCTCGCTAGGGATGCGCGCGCGCACCTTTTGTGAACAATGAGACTGTGATTAGAAAATAAAGGGAATTTGACAATCAGCGACATCGTTCCTCAGTGTTGTTGTTTTTGTTGTTGTTCAAATGGATCAAAAATGACGTTTCGTATTACATATATATATATATATAATGTGATGTGTGAAAAAACATATACAACTACTGCCAGTACTCCATTTTGAGCAGTCAAAGAGGTACGTGGGTGGAGTCAAGGACTCAAGATTCCCTGTGATTTTCTTATATCAATCCGGTGTTTAATAAATGGAACAAACGTTAATAATGTCTGGTCTTTAGCCTGCTTTTGAGCATGGAAAAGTCTGTGCACTTACTGAGTTCGCTCAAACAAAGGCGTCTCACGCTGTTCGTTTTCTTTTTGTTCGTCCTGAACCAGCTAAATGCACATGGCAGACACGGTCACATGAGTGTGTCAGTAGACACTCAATCAGGCCAAGGGACATGCAACGTATGTGTTACTCTCTTGATTCGAACGATCAGGTTAATCCATCGTGTATCGTGTTTAATCAAGTGCATCTACTCACTGGGGTTAAGTAATGCAACACGCAGAAGTTCCGTTCACATTTCAACCTGTTTATGAATACGCTGGTACTTGGTTTGCAAAATCGCTCTGGCGGACAATGTTATTAACATTGTCCGCCAAAGTGATTTCGCAAATCAAGTTTTTTCATGCATCAGAAATGCAACATAATGCAAACTAAATAAAACGTTCAGTAGAATCAATGAGATAGTTATTTGGAATGAGAATTTACATGCAAATCATGTATAAGGTGATTAAAAATGAGCGACTTTATTGCGCATCGATCGTGTGCTTACCCTCACAGTTGATCTGAATGCTCCTCTCATTCACCCCATGTCATTGGTGCAGTTTTTTCCATCTATCTGAGTTGAGGTCACTTCTCATTCAGATAGGCGGAGTAACACATGATCCAGCCATGTACTGAAAACCATTGATCAAATTTCATCAAGTTCACACAATGGCTGAAAGCATCGACAGGTTCTCACGTGACTGTAAGTTATCAGCTTTCGTCACATACTCTTGACTGGTACGAAACAGGTACAGGGGTTTGGGTTGTTATCTATCGGAACAACTAAGGTAACTTGGTCCCCGTGTGTGAAAACGTGCAAAATCAGTTGGTTCCATTAACTTTAAATACAACCTCAAATTGATTTAGTACATTCAATGTATTTACATCACAGGAAAATAAAAATAAATGAAGCATAGATTTGGATGGATTGCATTTAAATAATACTGATCAAAATAATGTACATGATTTAAAAAATTGAAGCATTGTTTTCAGACATGAAGATAAAATTAGATGCGGGTGTCTGATATCATATTAGGCTTCCATGTCTGTGGTTACTATCGGTGAAGAATAAACTTATCAAGACATCTGTTTCTCAAACTATCAGGTACCAATGAAATCCCAAGTGACGGTACAACTCTCTGTATCAAAGCAACCCTTCGAAACTCGATAGTCTTTACAAGTCATCCTGCGTTTGTAATCAAGCATAATAAGGAACAACGCATTTTTTTTCAAACGTAACACGATGCTCGAAAGTGGCACTCCGCTTATGGAAAACGGCCTGCTGTGTCGTTGAACGGCATCATTTGATGGTGCTATGTAGATCATCAGACTGTGTCCAATTTGTTAGACGATAGATAATTAGGTAGTGGAAAGGGTAGGAATATTCAATAACTGTGTGCCATGCAATTTTAGTTCTGTTCCAGATTTATCTTTAAAACCCTGATAGTCTGAAAAATATTCCTTCAAATATATGCTACTATTCTATACTACCTCTATTCCACAAGGATGCTTAATTTGTGTTTGATGCGGTTAGTAGGATCTAACCCGTTTACAAAACATCGAATCATAATATAGATTCATCAACGGACTGGTTCTGAAAGAGTTGTCCAAACAAGTTTACCCGGTGTTACAAATGAGGTTATTGTAACGAAAATACATTTCCTGAGTACATGTGAGAATTGGCAACGGAATACTGGATATACATGTTTGGTGAGCGGCAAGAACCTCGAAACCGGTCGCGCGCTTCCAGGGAAATTTTGTCCAGTCAGTCATTACCACTTATATATATATATATATATATATATATATATATATATATATATATGAAGAACAACAATAAACTTTAAAATAGTGACTTCATTGTGAACTCTAATGATACATTTTTCTCACACACGTTAGATGACGAATTTATCAAGACTGTTTTAACTCTGTTTACCATTCAATATTGGACATAAGTCACTTAGACACACTTTCGAGTCCAGTCCGTTTCATCAATCTCATTAAAAAAATTTCAAGTAATAAATTTACATCTTACTTTCTCTTTACCCACTTCGAATTTTGCGCACAGGAGGTGGAATTTAAGGAACCGAAAAAGTCGATTCTCCGCACGAAAAGTCACGAATCAAAACCGCTTGTTGAATTAAATGGCATCGAATCGGAAACGTCAGTGGTGGACTTGCGGAATGCCACCGTGACTGGTGTCAGGAGCAGAGATTTGCAGTTCGCGAATCAGAATAACCAAAATCTGCGATCTACCAATTCACTGCGATCACTGGACGGTAGAAGGGATTCAGAACGATCTCGAAGAAATGTACTGTTCTTGGACGAAGTTTTGACTCGAAAAAAACAAGAACAGCAGCAACAACAACAGCACATAGATGAAGCTTCGCCATCTTTCGGTTCTCCATCCAGCCTTCGAACTGGCACCCCTAGTGGAGCACAACAGTGGTCCACGTTTGCTTCCTATCCGGCCAGTTATCAACCCAGCCCGGTATTTTCCAAACGAGATATGGACAATAATGGAATAGAACTAGTTAGTCGTAGTCCATTGCCACGAAGTCGACTACTTTCCGATGAATCATGGGATATGTGGTCAGTTGGATCGTCCGGTAAAGATCATTCTCGAAACTTCTCACTAACAAGACATCGAAAACAAAAAAAGCAAGGATTCATGGAATTTAATAGCGATTCATCAGGCAATACGGTTATGGGTACAACGGCAGTGAATGGATCCAGTTACGATGCTCTACCCCGTTACGGAAGCTCGCGGGCCACCTTTGGATCATTATCTGCTGCCTCCGGTCGTTCCACCATAAACACGGTTCAGAATGCGCCAGCAACTTCCCCCATAGCTTCTAATTCCAATTGGACAAGTAGGAACGGGAATAACACCGCCAATTCTGGTGGAACCAACTCTCCTTCTTTGGCCACTGAAGAGCCTACAGTAAAACGGCCTGTCTATCCAAGGTTGACTGAACCTCGAGTAAGTTCAACAAAAGTTATTCTGCCGGTTTATTCTCCAACAAGAGCACAATTAACAAAGATGATATTGTTCTCTCATCAGTCGCGGCACTGTTGATTTTGAATAGTCACCAGTATATTTTGTCACCACTGGTGACCGATATGATTTTCCGTGAAACAAACGGCTTCCAAAAATTGGTTGTAATATCTAAATTTCTGCATTCGTCTGTTAGAAATTGCAATCACATGATTTCACGTGGGTGGGCTGCGTTTATCAGGTTCTGTGGATGGTTTTCGGCGTAGTGGACTTGAACCTTGTTATCAAACAAGACTGGTAAGGGATTTGATATTACTTGGGATTGAGTGAAACCTCGATTTCCTTGCGTCAAAACGTGTGTACCACCAATTGTTATCAATTGCTTTGTGAATCGTTTGATTTTTTCCAAGCAATAATGGTTTGAACCTTTTTTTCTAGGCTAAACACTGCTCATTTGTTAAAATTACCAATCAGCAACGACAAACCAGACACTGTTACCCATTTACTAAAAGCAATCACTTAGAATCACTTAGTCCCCATGGAGAACTTCTGTGGAACATTTCGTTCTGAATAAAAGCGCAACTCAAACAACGGCAACAAACAGTCAATCTTTTAGTTATCTTGAGTAGTAGTCACGGGTAAACAAAATTTTCCCCATATCGTGAATAATGTACAATCTCATTCATATCCATATCGTTGACTGCATTGCACAATCGCCCATAGATTTATGATGATGATGCATATGTAACCTCGAGGCTAAATGCAATGGTTTCTTTCGTTTGGTGTGGCAATCAGCTGTGTAATTTGATGTAATTGATAGTGGAAACATAATTTACCGAGATTGCTATCGATTTCCTCCATTGTAGTTTGAAAGTGAACGACTTCTAAGCATAAGGTGGAAACCCACACACGCACACTATGGTCTTCGTTTTTATCTCATCTGCAGTGTCTAATACTGACATCCACCTCATCCATAGCCAGCCGCATCGACAAACTCTGCAGCGATTACATCATACGAAAACAATGAATGCATCCCTGTTACTCCGTCTTCTTTTTGGACTACAAGTGCTCGCACTACACGACATTGAAAATGCCAAAGGCGGTACTGCCAATCAAAGTCAACGCGTTCCAGTGTGACCTTAAGTGACTAGGCCCCTCTTGCTGACATGGATGGGAGGGAACCCCAGATTGTCACTCATTATCACAATGCACCACAAACGAACACTTGCTTGCGCAAACAAACACTTTTCTTTGGCCACCCAAGATCCCGTATTGTCATCCGAGATTCATTTGACTGTGAATGGGAATTTTCTATGGATTATTCAATGCAAATCTCATTGGCAGCTTGGGGAGTGGATTTGAGGCGGACAAACCTCCAAGAATCATTGCGATGATTATGTATGTCAGGTGTTGTGGGTAAGATGCATCCAACAGCAGCCAACTCGACGCTAAGGCCGATACAGAAAATTCTGGAGATTACCAACGTTTTCGACAAAGTGGAGTAAATACGGATGCCAGCTAACAGCAGGGAACGCCTGGATGATCATCAGTTTATTAGCAATTCTCTGTGTCTCACTCTCAGTATTCGGCCGATACTGACTGATATCGTTTTATTTTATTATTACTGTAACATATTCGACACCAGGCGTGTCATCAATAGCGTACTGCTATTTAATAGAGTAGATTTTGTTCGTGCTTACCGCTATCGTGTGACGTTTTCTATTGCTCTCTTTCGATACCCCTGCAGTAAAAATACAGGCAGATAAGATCTGATTGGCAAGTAGATCAGTGAACGAGTGCCACTGGATCAGGCACTGATGTACCCCTAANNTACCCCTAATACATAATCATTCGATTATGTTGATCACAACGTCCTCGGTAGGGAAGCCTAGTCACATTTACAAGTAGGGAAAAACAATTACCTCCATCACAAGACACAAAACCCATGCCATAATGATCGGAGTTGCGTACGATACTCTAAACGGAAAACCGTGCTATACTCCCTCAGGATCGTGGAGTCACGAACTGGTCATTAAAATGAATTACTATCCCTGCGTTTAGTAACTTCTTCAGCTCTAGAATCCATACTACTAATGAAGTCTTGAATATGCTTCAATGATTCTGCATCCTTATCTTTCATCTGAGTTTGTTACGGGCTCTTGGGGTTTAAAACGGTTCCGTTGCGGTGTGCTAAACAATAATCGGCTTTATCAATCCAGATTATCTGTCGAATTACTGCTGTACGCTACAAATCTCGTTGCTTCACCCACTGAGTTCTCTATTTCTTATGATCACCTACAAAATTTTGTAGCCTTCGTGATTATTAAACGTCTAAACAGTGCTGATTCAAGCGACCACGGAGAGTTTTAGCGAAAGCAGTATACAGACATCAGATATGTAACATTGGTATCCCTCGTTTTTAACAGAAACCAGTCCCATTTCTCATTCGTTTTCTTTCGTCAGTCTTGATCCTACTTCCGTTCAGCCATACTCCTGTTCGAAACGACGGATCCAGTATCTAGCAGCCATCATATTTAGGAGCAGGAGAGGTTGTAGTGAACAGTTTCGGCTTCCTAGAGTAGCACAGTGTTAACTCCTATCAAAACTGACTGGTAATAGCTTCGCCTGTGATCAGTCTGAAATCTATGCGTGGCAGGAGGAACGGATGACATCAATTCTGGCTCCAATCGCCAGTGAATTAATAACGCATGTTGGTATCTCCTTCCTTGTATTTACTAACTCAGCTTAATGCCGTTAAATGCTAGCATACCTAGTTTGAACCGCATTTGCTCGCGCAACAATAGGAGAGGGGATGAATTTCAGAAATTCCACCACGCGGCATGAATCTGCTTTCGGAAGTGGAGTAAATTTTGTCCGTGTGTAGATTTAACCAATCCCGCAGATTGGGTTTTTAATACTCTCACACTTTGTCATCCACTTCGTTCATCCATTGCCCTCATTCAACTACTGCCTTCGTTGCGCACTGGAGACATTTTTCTGGTGACATACCTCAGTCAGTGCAATCAGTATTGCGTCAGTAAGCATTTGTGTTGGTAAGAGGTTTCGGTTACCTCTGGGCCTATTTTCGACGTGCCTTGTCTGTTGGTATCACCAACTTCCTAAAATGAAGCACGGAAAGCGCCGTGGGGAATCGATAGTTTTTCTTCACCGCCTAGCCATGTTTCTGCAACATATAACATCGGTCAGAAAGTGACAGTTTACACTGGAATCTTCATAAACAGAGATATTGCGGCAATGACAAGGATACTATAATAATAAAAATAATCACAAGGTGAAGGCCGTCGACCGTGTAGCTCAGGGGTATGGATTTGAAGTTCCAACCCGAATGTCCGCGTTTCCAGTCCTGACAGGGACAAAAACAAGTACGCACATGCTGACGAGTCCCGACCAGTGCTCTTCTTCGGTGATCACAAACATTTCCATCGCATTTGAATACATTTACCTGGCGGGGAATTAAAGATCTCCCAAGGAGTTTAACCCATACCCAAGATCATCATCAGTGCCTGGGGCCTATACCGAACAGGCTAATCCAAACACTCACCGTCCAAATAGGCAATTTCACTTCCATTTTTTGTTTATTGATTATAGAAGTGTACAGCAACCTTTCATAGAAAGGCTGTCTGGGGAAATACAAATAATNGAGAGATGGGCGTCGGCGGTGGCGGGGTTCGAACTCGTAAACCTCAAAGACCTTCAATGAACTTACCATGAGACCACCGCCACCCTGAATGCTGTAACCTAATCGTAGTTCCGTCCTCCAGAAGAGACAGTTGCGCAAGTAACAGAACAAATGAGGCCACGATGTTCTTTTTCACCATCAATGTGGAAATTTTCGTCTAGCGAATACTTATGAGTAATGCTTCTTTTTAAGTAACCTTGAGTTATTGTTAAAAATCGACAAAAACGTTCAATACAATATAACAAAACACATTAGGTTAAGTTGGCTCAATCCTTCAGAACCGCTGATTTCAATTTGAAAAACTCCAACAAGCCACAGTAGGTAATTGATTTAGCAGTTCAGAATTTTCAGCAAAATAAAGATTTACCAATGGTCATGAAAGATAGTCGTTCTGAACGTCATGAGAGTGAGAAATGAGTGCGGCAGCTTCAACAACTGCTCGTTGTAAGTTGCACTCAGAACTCGAAAGAAGCACTTTGTTGTCTATGTGATAAGGAATTAATCCGAATGAAGAAATGCTCCGAATTACAGAGACCTATCATAAAAAGATGAACTATCTCTACGCCCAGCTCAACCAGAAATCCTAAAATCTTACGTCCATCGACCTTCATGGGTAGTAGTAGACCTCTCAAGCGACGACCCGTCAATGTAAACCTTCCTCTAGGGATTCCATCGATGTATGTTAGTCACATCTTCTTGACCTAGAAAATGGAGGGGGTATGCAAACCACGAAATATTGAAACATGCATTGAATGAAGAACGCGCCAGTACAGTGTTGTACAATTCATTTCCAGAAACATTTATTTGTATCTCCTTAGGCACGTAGTACAGTCGAAAAATAGAAAATGAAAACCAACAGGTAACGGTTACCATAGATGAGCTGTTAGAGTCATTTTCGTCTATCTTTCTATCAAGGCAAGGCTAGAGTTACAAATAACTCTTTCTGTTTGCACAGCTCAGGCTTCCATCATTTTATAGCATTCGCCTCTGAAAACTGGAGCGACCGAGAGTTTTGTGTGATCAAAACACTTTTGAATGCCGTGGTCACCTTTACTTAGCCTCTGACATCGAGTGTCGAGCGATCGATGACGCTTGTGTGCGGTGTCGAGTTGACCTGGTGCTTATATTAGAGTACAGTATCGATTCCTTTGTTCAAATACTAATTTTGATCTGTGTAACCATTGAAGTATCAGTTAAGTTTGGGATAATGTAGGTTTGTACCTTTGAACGTACATTTTCAACCCTTTATTAGAGCTTTTTAAAATTAAATATCTATAAATTAATTTACCGTTCAATTTAAAACCGTTAAGTTTTCGTAATACTTGTCGCGTAAAATCACTCGGAAAATATTTATTATCTAACTGAGATTTTTTTAAAAGCGAAAGGCAAATATGGTTGCCAATTTTGGAGTACAAGATGTAAGCCGTATAATAAATATTGATGTTAGTGTCAGTCATGACACAGGACATAAAGTACCTTTTCACCAATAGCTATAATTCACAAAGAATTAGGGGAATTTGCGAACTCCAAAAGACTTGAACCCATAAAGCTGGATGAATATGCCAATCCTAATGTCGCTGGCTAAACATGGGATAAAGCCGGAACATGGCAAAGTTGAAAGAACTTTTATCAAACAATGTTGTAGCTATGTACCCAACTGCTGGTCTTTGATAATTTAGCGCTGTGGATAGGAATGTTGGCTTCCATCCCGAAAATTTCTCGTTCGAGTATATGCGAGGACGCAAAAGTAGTGGACACAATGTTGATGAGGCCGATCCGTATGAAACACCTGCTCCGTGCAATAAGGCACGATTTCCTTGTTGCAACCTAAAGAATGCAATTCTCGGTACAATTTTCTTAAGGGCTTTCTATATTTGATTAGCTATAATAAAGCGGACGCCTTGGTCAAATCAACGCAAGGAAATTGACGAGCACAATTAAAATTTTCGATTTCGTAGAAATGTTATGCTAACTGGTAAGCTAATCAAAACACAGTACCTCGATTGTTTAGCCGACTTTTTGACCGAGATCGTACGATTACTTTCATGCCTATGCGGTAAGCGACCGTCGGACATACGCAAAACGTGTTCTAACCAACAGAGCCTACTGAGCTGGATTCGATGAGATAGCGAGTTCTTGTTTACTGTATTCCCAAACACCCGACAACTTAATTCCAAGTTACTAACCCGCTCACTCCATCCCACTTGGGCCAGACTACGTAAGCATCGATTATCGAACACTGCTAAACGACGGATGTCTTCTACCCGCAAATTCAAGGTCTCACAACTGTAAAGTAGAACTGATCGTACGGTGGAGCAGTATACGCTACTTTTCAACTTCAGTGACACGTCACTATGCCGCCACAAGTGTTTTAATCCTACTTACGCTTCTCGAGCCTCGGAAATGCGGGCGGTTATCTCCTCCGATGCCCTACCGT